CTAATACGTATACACAATATGGAACGATCAACATGTTTCCTTAGATTGGATTTAAACCCTTTGATTTCTACATGTACATGTACTGTAATGAGAATGCACATTTTAACCATTTCACCAACAGACTTTCTCACCATAATTATTCTGCATTTTTTTCTTATATTCTTCAATTTTTCTGGAAATTTTGGAGCCAACAAACAAAATTTATGTCAATTTTCAGATTTTATTTTAAAAATGTGGCTATTTTTGTCTCAATCTTCTGAAGGAGAGTGCAGACTATAAACAGAACTATTTTGTGAGTTTGTGATGAAAAGAGGGAACTGGTGGTGAAAGGGATAATATGTTCTCTTTCTTGTCATGCCAGTCTTGTAGCATATACATTAGAAGAATTGATGCAAGAAAAAAGATTATGCTGATAATTATTTATAAAACTATACATTATAATCTTGACTAGCCAATTTTTTTTTTCAGAGTAAAAATTAGTGGTTATAAAAATGTTAGATGATAAAAACATTGTACAGAGCATCATTTGTTACAGAAAACAATGTAAATGTAATAGACAGTCACTTGAAATATACTGTCAGGTTATCATTATGAAAAGTCTACCTCAATACTTGCAATGTTTATTGTGCGAATAGGTAAGAAACATTTTATCGGTTATCATTATGAAAAGTTTTTCAAAACTTGTTTTAATTGCTTCTTTTTTATAATGAAATTTTCTTCCAAAATGTGTTTGCCATTATTCGGAGGATGTCTGAAACCGTCCATAGTACCACACACCGTTGTGATTGGTTAATTAAATTCTTGACTTACAGTATTAGGTCATGAACATTATGGCAGGTCATCTCCTGCCTAAAAACAACACAGCAAATCTCAACTTTGTACCGCTCCATCACATTTGCTCATTATAGAATGAGCTTACAATATTTCATAGTAAACCAAAGATAATTACATTTTTTGTATCAAAACATGATAGGTACTGCTGTTAGATGCACAAATTATGTGTGTATTTTGCTTTACCCACGGTACATGTACGTGTGTACGTCCTAGCCTAGTTGAACAATCTTGAGAATTTGGGATTTTTCGACTATCCCTAACACTCATATGAGAATATCTGCTTACAACTGGTTTTTAATCCGTGTCGAAAACATGCACAAAATGGTCATTTGTATATATTTGTATTTGTATATTTTATTTCACCATAAAGTAAATACAATTGGGTACTTGCTAAATACATAATCCTTTGTCATTATGGTGTGGAACATGATAAATATCTCACAAAGAGCTAGTAAAACATCATGTCCCTACCCTAATTATAAACTAGTCAAATTATCAGAAATATTCTTACAAATATTCAAAGGTAATGTATATAATGTATATTCTGTGCACAGTTTTCGACACGGCTTATCTCAAGTGCCAAATCCATGAAATAAACAGCCTATGTCAATAGAGTAGCCTTGGTGTTAAAAATGGATTAAGTACTGACAAACCAACTTCTGCATAGGTTTGTCTTTAAACGCATGCTTTTTGGTTCATTTAGTCATCATTTTTAAACTCAGAAGCCCTCAAAACCTAATATTACATGTAAGAACAAAACAATCCGTTGAGATTTCACGTTTTTCCCCGAAAAAGGAATGCTGGCTGTTCCTTCTCTGGACTCCCTCCCCGCGTATACTAGTACTACCAACTCCTACCATGTCCTCACTTGGTGACGCATCGAACAAACTTGAAGAGTCACATACGTTACGTAATTTTCCTGTTTTAAAATAATAGAGTCTGGCACACAAATACACATTGTCCATTGGTAATACACTGTGCCAGTGTAGGATTTACGGCAAGTTGGACATTTAATGGTGGAGTTTTAATGGTAACATCTATAACATATCGTCACCTGTCTATTACAAAGCATACAAAAGTGAAAAAATTAAAATTATAACTCAAAATTAAATTTTTTTTAATATATGTTTATGCAATGCATTTTCTATGGCACATCCTGTGATGTTTATTTGACAGGGGAGCACTGGCCACGGGTGGAAGTCAGCCATCTTGTCCATCCATTTCTGGTGATGGTCAAGCTATAAACGGGCAACAGTACTCATTTCACCTAATCTCCCGCTTTTATTGCATTTCAATCAACCGCATATCGCTTAATTTCCGACCGCTAACGACCATATTTTTATCCCTTTCTTTTCTCACTCTCGTATTAAAAATACTGGCCGCTTGTACAAACACTGATCACTGGCACATGAGTTGTTGAAATCGTTGTTTTAATGCTAAAGTTTGAGGATTCAATGAGTATTAACCATTATTTAATTCCGAACGACACTTCCAATCCATCACACTGTGTATCGTTCACGAATGCAACTTATGACCTCTTGTTACGTGAATGTTCCACAACAAACTGATAGATCGGGACTGTGTTCTATTTGAATCCAGGGCAACAATATGAATATCGAGACATTTACGTGATACAGGCAATGCTAACTCCTTAGGTCAGAGAGCAGAGAAATCGGGAAAATATTGATGTGCCCCCCCCCCCAAAAAAAAGATGCCACGACCATGTATTTAAAATTTGAGCGAGCAGATGGGCGATATTTCTGGGTTTGCACCGTCGAAAAATAAAGTGGAAATTATTGAACAAGTGGTTGCAAAACAAATGATCAAAAAGCAGAAGCGAGCAGGAGGTTGGGTGAAATTAATGCTGTACATTCAGGTCCTTTGTGATAAATACGATCTGCCAAGATCTATCATTCTGAAGCATGCCAAAGACAGAAAAAATGCAGTTTTGAATATTGACACCGTTCGTATTTTTTAAATGAGCCAAATGTATGCTGCTTAAGCGATGATTGATCAAAACAGACTAGTTTTAACGGCTACGTTCTGTCGAAGATACCAGACTTCACTTTCGGAGTTATTACCGAAGATAATGTCTGACATATTAAAAATCGGAAAAAGCAAAAAAAACAACAATTGGTTATGTGAAATTGATTAGCATTCATGTAGGTCCAACTGAATCAGTAATGTTGTATCGTCTATTTCTTCAACCAAACGTTACAACCCGGACCTGCTCGACGATTATTATTGCAAATGCCATTTCTTTCTTCCTGGTCAATGAATCCAAAATCATTTGGGTAAAAGTACGTTATTTTAGAATGATTTTTATTTGGTTTTACATGATATTTAGTCTGATCATGGAGGTAGAAAAGAGAAGGAGTGAGGACTTGTCTTCGCTCTGGTTAAGCCACTTATTGTTTTTGTTTAGAAGTCGTTTTATATACATGATGATAGCCGCTTATTTACACAAGAAAACGAGAGTAGAACTGAATAAAATGAATTCTGTTTGAACATCGTCTATAAAATTGAAGGCGCAAAACATAAATAAAAGAATTGTGCAGGCGCAATGATCTTTATCGGGTCACAAAGGTCATTTCACACTTGTGGGTACTGGAAATTCTGCATACAGACGCTTCCAAGATGTGTGATTACTTCTTTTCTGATATTTTTCATCGAAATAGTCTTCCAACTTTGGACATTGATTAAAAAAATCCCGCAAATTTCCGCAGTGAAATTTAAAGATACATGATCAGTTTAAAACAAG